AGCCTGTTTCCTCCCCTCTCTCTTTCTGCCTGCCTCTTTGCCTACTTGTAATCTGTCAAATAAATAAGTAAAATCTTTAAAAAAAAGAAAGAAAGAAAGAAAGAAAGAAAGAAAGAAAGAAAGAAAGAAAGAAAGAAATAGGGGCTAAGAGCCTGGGTCCAGAACCGGAAAGGTGTATACTGAGTTTACGTGACTGCCCCTGAGCAGACTTAGACGATTGGTGTCGCCCACTTGGGCACTCCGGCTTTGGGTGTGGTTTTGTGATACCAGTCAACCCACTGTCCCCTCGGTTGCTTTTACTTTCCACATGACTAACACATTTCAGTCTGCCAGTGAGCTGAGTGTGATGTTAGTATTTCAGTGTTTTCTATGCAAGAGCACCTAAATGCAATTCATGAGCTTTGTTCGGTGCTCACACAGGACAAAACTCTGTGGGACATTTTGAAGGACTCCTTTGGTTTTCAAAGCAGTACCTTTCTAGAGGATTTTCACGTGTAGTTTGGATGGACTAACCAAGGTTCCACCCTAATTTCTGTCTTCAGAACCTAGCCCCAGGGTCATTTAATCACTATACTGGTGATACCCACAGCAAGTTATTTAATCTGTCTGAGCTGGAGCACCCCTAGCTACACATGCCATAAGGTTGTCATGAGGACAAAATGAGATATAAAAATGAAATGCACACCAGGTCCTGGGTAGCTCAGTCGAATAAGCATCTGCTTTTGGCTCAGGTCATGATCTCAGGGTCCTGGGATCAAGGGCCATGTCGGGCTCCCTGCTGAGCGGGGAGTCTGCTTCTCCCTTTACCCCGCCCTCCAGCTCGTGCTCTCTCTCTCTCTCAAATAAATTAATAAAATATTTTTTTAAAAAATGAAATGCATACCAAATCACACATAAACAGATCTCTTGTGCATATAGAATTTCTGCGTCAGGTTGATTTGTGGAGAATGTGCACTTACCCCAAAGAAAAACTCAAAAATAAGCCTCTTTGTGGTATTTAATTTAGATATTTTAAAAAATAGTTGAAGTCATATCATAACATTAGGACCCATTCAACTCTGGCTGTTAACCTAATACACCTCCGGGCAAACTTAAGGACACCAGACTGATAGGATGTTTGCTAAGACTGGGGTGAGCAGCCACGTGTGAAAGCAAGATGCCAAAGCAGATAAGGATATCGAAGGTTTCAGCCTTTCGGCCTGTCTGTTCTTCCACAGGCCGTATATACAGGCCAGCTCTGTCAGTGGAAGTGAGAACCAGGCTCTGCTCTCTCAACACTCAACTGCTACCTCCAAGGCCCCACACAGAGCCAGGGTCTAGCAGTATCTCTAGAAGACCTTTATGTCATCTTGGCACCAGATCTCCTCCATGAACCAGAAACAGTTGTATAACAAGATACAGGACAACACACAACAAGTAAACGCAATAAAGGTTAACTGTGCTTGAGATGGGAGGAAACACTGCAAAAACACCACACCATCGACTACCAAAAACCCCAGATGTGGAGAAATGACACTGACAACCTCCATGTTTTCCCATGCTGGCTGATAATATTCACGTGTTATGACAGCAGCTTACGATGGTATTTGCTGGGAGTCTGAATTAGGCTATTCTCTAAGACGTGGTAGTAGGAGGACTAGCGAAAGTAGCTAGTACCCATTTATTTTCTAAGTACTATATGTATGGTAACTCATTTCATCTTCCTCTAAATCCAATGGGATGTATATTATTTCCATACCCATTTCATAGATGAAGAAACAGAACATAGAAGTAAACTGCCAAGATTATACAACTATTAATTGTGGGAGCTGGGATGTGAATCAGGTGGTCTGTCTCCAAAGATGGTACTTTTCATCTCAGGGGCTGGCACACTTTTCTGTAAAGAGCCAGCTAGTAAATATTACAGACTTTTATATGGTTGCATATTTTTGTTGTTTTTAATAATCCTTTAAAAGTATAAAAACTGATCTTAGCTTATAGTTAAGACGAAAACAGGCAGCAGGCCCATTGGGACCATAAATAATCGGCTTGTTAATACTATACTCATTGATCAAAGGACCCAGAGGATGTGCTATTTGATACTCAGCCCATTCGGTAAATCCTATATGCCTCTAATACAAATGGTTTTGCATTGATAAAATAATCCATAATTCTGACTTCATCTCTTTCTCATTTTGTCTGAGTTATTAGGTCTCACTGCGTTTTCCATGAGCTTTCCCCTCCTAACTACTGTTTCTGTTGCTGGACATTTAAGAAGAACAGTAAGTGGAGCCAGGATTATCCTGATTCCAAAACCCAAATTTACAATTTTGTTGTAAAGACACAACAGCAAAAAAGACCTATAGACCATTATCTCTGATGACCATAGATGCAGAAATCCTCAACAAAATATTAGCGAATCAAATCCGACAATGTATGTTAAAAATTAATTCACCATAATCTAGTAGGATTTATTCTCTGGATATAAGGGTGGCTCAGTATTCACAAATCAATGTGATATATCACATCAATAAGAGAAAGGATAAAGCCATATGATCATTTCAATGGCTGCAGAAAAAAGCATTTGACAAAGTACAACATCCATTCATGATAAAAACCCTCAACAAAGCAGGTTTTCAGGGAACATATGTGGATGTAATCAAGCCTTTATATAAAAACCCACAGCTAACATTATACTCAATGGGGAAAAACTGAGAGTTTCTCCTCTAAGGTCAGGAAGAAGACAAAGATGTCCACTCTCACCACTTTCAATCACTGCAGTACTGGAAGTGTTAGCCACTGCAATCAGACAAGAATAAGAAATAAAAGGCATCCAAGGTAAGCAAGAAGTAAAACTTCCACTATTTGCAGATGGTATAATCCTATATATAGAAAAGCAGAGATGACTCTACCAAAAAACTACTAGAACTCATAATTAAATTCAATAAGGTCACTGGATAAAAAATCAATGTACAGAAATCCATTGCATTTCTATACATTAATAATGAAGCAGTAGAAAGAGAAATGTAAAAAACAATTCCATGACAATTGCACCAAAAATAATAAAATGGAACAAACTTAACTGAAGAGGTGACAAAAACACTAATTCAAAGGAATAACATGCACCCCTAGGCTTCCTGTAGCATTATTTACAATAGCCAAGCTATGGAAGCACCCCAAGAGTCCAATGATAGATGAATGGGTAAAGAAGATGTGGTACATATATACAATGGAATATTACTCAGTCATAAAAAGGAACAAAATATGGCCATTTGCACCAACATGGATGGATCTAAAGAGCATAATGTTAAACGAAATAAGTCAGTCAGAGAAAGACAAATACCGTTATGATTTCACTCATATGTGGAATTTTAGGAAGAAAACAAATGAACAAAGAGAAAAGAGAGACAAGCAAAGAAACAGTCTTTAGAGAAGAAACTGATGGTTCCCAGAAGGGAGGTTGGTGGGGGGCTCAACGAAATAGGTGAAGGGGATTAAGAGTACACTTAACTTGATGAGGACTGAGTAGGAATTTTGAATCACTGAATTGTACACCTGAAAATGAATACAACACTATATGTTAACTACCCTGGAATTAAAAGGAAAAAAAGGGGGGGGGCTATAAGGATGGAATAAGAGCTCTTCCAGCCACTTTTAATCTGCCATCGGCTTTCTCCCCATGCTGATTATTATATATGGAAGTGACACAAGACAGTACAGTATTGGACTGGAGTCTGTTCTCTTTTTAACAGACTAGAAATACATAAATAAGATGCATTCTTTCTAAAACTTCCGACCTACCACTTTCCTGGGACCAGACATTAATTAAGGCAGTTACGTTAGTAGAACTAGCCACCTGGCATCTAATCTTTTATCATTTTCATGAAACCTTAAAATGGCTTATAAAGAGACATGGTTCACGAAATGCATTAATATCACAACGGAACTTCATGCTTTCTGGGTACCTGCTGTATGCTTGAAGATTAAAAATGTCATCGCAACATTCTAGTCTAGGCTCCTAGTGGAGAAATCACTGTGTTTTGTTACTAGGTTTGGTCAAGATTAAATCTTGAACTTGCAAATAAATCCTGGTCATTTTTTTGACACCTCTGTGGTACATAATATAGAACTGTGCCTCATGTAATAAGTGTGAGGAAATCCTTGGTTTGGGCATAGCACTTTGAAACTTAAGAGAAAATTTATGGAAGTGTCTTTCAAGTTATTTTGACCACCACCTGGAAAAAATATATACCAAATATTTTATCATGATCCAATCCATAGCTACCTACACACATATGTAAAACCAAAACAAAGTTTCAGAAGCAGTTGAGACATTTCTTCCTATGGTTGAGACATTTCTTATTATTTTCTTACCTATTCTACTTTGTTTAAATTTTGGATGCGTCTCCTAACACCCAATGTATTTCATAACCCACGAATGGGGCTTGACCCCATTTGAAAAACACTCAGAAGATGTTCATGCTCACACTGCTCATGGGCCGAAGGTATGTCTTTCTTACCTGGTCCCATTTCTCTAGGACCAGATCTCGCCATAATCATCAGTGCTCAGTGATGCTTCTCCTGACTTTGCCACTAATTTGAAATCCACTGTTACATGCTCTTAGAGCCCCACGACTTCTCTCTTTGACATTTACTGGGAGTTCTAATTGTCCATTAATTTATGACTATTTTATCTATAAGTGTCTCTCTCTATATGGAGCCCTGCCTAGACAACAGACTCCGTAAAGGTAGATATTCCATTTTTACTTTGCTACAATTATATCCCCCAACTGTGATTAATGAGTAAGAAGTGTTTAAGAAACACTTATAAATAATAAATATAATAAAATCTTTTTTAAAAAAGAAAAGAAATGTTTATTGAATAAATGAATGGGCACCCTAAGGTTATCTGGAACGTTGTTTTAAACAGGGTACTCTGGTTTCACTTAATCTTCATTATTTATTAGCAACTGAAAAGCAACTGATAATCCTTCACATTGTTCTTTTTGTTTGTTTTACAGTTAACTTTGACCACTTCGAGATTTTGCGTGCCATTGGGAAAGGCAGTTTTGGGAAGGTGAGAACCCAAATGATTAGTCACCAGCAGGGTTATGTAGCTCAGGGAACAAAGTCTGAGAATGTTCCGATTATTCAGTTACTGGGACCACAAGGAATGATAATTCAGAGAGGTTTTTTATAAAATGCTCACTACAGGGGCGCCTGGGTGGCACAGTGGGTTAAGCCTCTGCCTTTGGCTTGGGTCATGATCCCAGGGTCCTAGGATCGAGCCCCACATTGGGCTCTCTGCTCAGCAGGGAGCCTGCTTCCCCCTCTCTCTCTCTGCCTGTCTCTCTGCTTGCTTGTGATCTCTGTCTGTCAAGTAAATAAATAAAATCTTTAAAAAATAAAATAAAATGCTCACTACAGCTTGAGGTGTGTAGTATAATGGACACCTCTTGTTCTCAGAATTATTTCAGTGTCATGCTCATTAACTCTTTTAAGACTTTCTCACCACTGCAAAATGTTGGACTCAGTTGCTAATTGTACCCATACCTTTGGTAACATTTATCCTGTCAATGTAAGAGTTAACTCTTTTTTTAAAAAAGATGTTATTTATTTATTTATGAGAGAAAGAGAGAGAGAGAGCATGAGGAGGGGAAGGGGCAAAGAGTGAGGGAGAAACAGGCTCCCCACTGAGCAGGGAGCTGCACAGCAGGACCCGACCCCAGGACCCCAGGATCATGCCCTGAGCTGAAGGCAGATGCTTAACCCACTGAGCCACCCAGGCGCTTTTTATGTGGAAAAGAAGCTGCCCAATATCTGTTTCCCCTCCAGTTATACCATGTTTTTATTTTCAAAATCTACCATGAAAGATAGATCCAGGCTAATTTTTTTGCAAGAAACTTCTAGATTCAAATCCTGATCATTAGTTTGATAGAGACATACTCTGAGAATATTTACGTCATACTGAACTCACCTTTTAAAATCATCTGCTGCCCACTTTATCAGACATCTAGACCCTCTAAAAGAATTCCCAAAACATGGACATCATGGTCAGGGCTTTCTCAGTGCTTTAAGTTCTTTTAGGTTCTATCAACTGTGGTGTAAAGAGAAATTCTTGGCACCATGTTGTTCAGCTAGGCAGTTCAGCCACACACCTATCAGTCACTCAAATCAGAATAAGCGTGTCATTGGTTGTTGGAAAATTCCTGACAAGGAAGCAGCTATTTTCTCCAGCATGCTGTCTAAACAAAACCCAAAGACCAAAAAACAGGCAGGCTTGTTTGAGAAAGCAGAGATTCACAAACTGACCCAGTACAGGGGAAGAAAATGAGATTTTCTACTCTGAAATCAGAGCTAAGCAGCAACTTTAGCATCAGAGAATTTGCAAGTAGGGAGGCCTCCAGGCCCTGCTATTGAGCACCTCCTGTCCTGTCTCCCACGGCTGTGATCTGTCAACTCCCTGACTGCTCTCCCACTCTGGTTTGTGCCATTAGGTCTGCATCGTGCAGAAGAACGATACCAAGAAGATGTACGCAATGAAGTACATGAACAAACAGAAGTGCGTGGAGCGCAACGAAGTGAGGAATGTCTTCAAGGAACTCCAGATCATGCAAGGTCTGGAGCACCCCTTCCTGGTTAATTTGTGGTAAGTGCTTTTACGGGCTCTCTAAATAGAGCCATTCCCGCCTTCACCTCCAAACACTGGTCCGTAAACCCATCTGGATTTCCAGGTGTTCGTGTGCAAAATCTTCAGTTAGGCTTTTCCCCAAAGGCTTTGGTTTTTTGACTTTGACTTTCGTCTTGGTTTCTTTGACTTCAAATGAAACAAATTGTTGTTTTATTGTCATGAATAAATACTGCTTTTTTTTTTTTTTTTGGTCACAATTCCCTGGTCCTTCAGGAACCTATATTTTTAAAAACATGGCAGTTAAATAGGCTGACAAAGAGTGAGTTCAGATGTCTTGTCGTTCACTAGATACTTTTCCCCCATTGATTGTGGGCAGCAACATCGGGTGCTAGGTAGGTCCTCAGCGGCTGAGGGGAGGTTGGTCTTGGGAACATGTACAGAAAAGCACTTGCTCTCTACAGTGACTGGCAGTGGACATGGATTCCTTGCAGCAGCCTTCTCCAGCGTCCACAAATATACACCTGGGAGTTGGAAAAGGACAGGAGCTGCCTTTCTCACCAAATAGCTTCTAACAGAGCGGGAGCTAAACTCAGATCAGTGGCTAGACATTAGGTAACTGTGGTCTCCTCCCCAAGCCAGGATCACAATCCAAGGCTTAGTAAATGGCTAGAAACTGGCTGTGTCTCTTACTCCCTGCTCTTTTCTTACGTGGAGGGCTGTATGCAGCTCTCTCATTTTCCTCTACATTTTAATGCATCCATTATGTTAAGAGCCTGTTCCTAAAGCTAATGCAGTGTGACTGTTATTTAAATATGCATACCAAGCAGTTTCTACTAGCAAAGGCAAAAAAAAAAAAAAAAAAAAGTCTTTATTCAGAGACTACTAATGGAAAAATACTTGGAATGTCACTGTGTGTTTGGGGACATTTTTTCTGGAAGAGTTAATGCATAAAACCTGTCTCCCTCCATTTTTAATTAATACAGTTCACTTAATATACAGTTCGCTCCAAGACGCTACAACCAGAGTTGAAAAGATGGCTTTGTGTGACCTGGAAATAGGTTTGTGCCCTCCTCAGACACGGTGGAGTCTAACTGTGGCCCACGCTCAGTGTGTTTAATCAGTAGCTCAGAGTGGCCTATTCACAGCACTGCCACGCACTGTTACATCCATGCAGCTCTCCTCCCCACCTTTCACAATCACCAGATTGCCTTCTCCCCGTCTCTCCACCCTGACAATGATGAGGTGCTCTCAATTCACATCCTCCCTTTGTTCAAAGTCACATTCTCCTTCTTCCAAAGCTCAGCCGACTCACTCTCTCCTTTTAAGACCAGGAACCCTTTAGAAGGATATACTCTGCATTTCCCCCTTTCACACCGCTGGTCCCTCATCACTAAATATGCAAAATGGATTTCAGTCTATTCCTGTTTTGCTTTTTTTATAAGGTGGGTGTCTACCGATTTTGCCGTTTGCTAATTTGGTATCAATGTAGGGAATACTTGGTGTGCCATGAATACAGACTTGGTGACAACCTGACACAGAGCCTAGCCTTCCCTCTCACACGGAACCTCACAGGACAGTGGGCACCAGTAACAGTGATAGAGGAGGGAGAAGAAACCCGCCCCCCACCTTAATTCTAGCACCACATTCAGAACTGAGTGAGAGAGGGCATCCTTCAAGGATAGCAGAAAACTTTCTGTAGTTCAAGTCTTGAGATAAGAATGGTCAGAGGGATGCCTGGGTGGCTCAGTGGGTTAAAGCCTCTGCCTTCGGCTCAGGTCATGATCCCAGAGTCCTGGGATCGAGCCCCGCATCAGGCTCTCTGCTTGGCAGGGAGCCTGCTTCCCCCCACCCCCCCGCCTGCCTACTTGTGATCTCTCTGTCAAATAAATAAATAAAATCTTAAAAAAAAATGGTCAGAAAGCATATTGATTCCTTCTAATAAAGGCTTTCTGTCTTAGTAAGTACAACATAGGGAATGTAAGTGACTCTTCAACTATTAAGCACCTTGCAGTACTTCTGGAGGTGTGACCTGTGAGCAATATTCATAATTTTTTAAAGATTTTATTCATTTATTCATTTATTTGAGAGACAGCATGAGCAGGGGGAGCAGCAGACGGAGAGGAAGAAGCAGGCTTCCTGCTGAGTAGGGACCCCGATGCAGGGCTCAATCCCAGGACCCTGAGATCATGACCTGAGCCAAAGGCAGATGCTTAACCCACTGAGCCACCCAGGTGCCTGAATCTTTATCATTTTAAAGTCACATGGTTATAAGACGGGGTTAATGTATGTAACTTGGGTTGTTTTTATGAGCAAAATGAGATACAGTGCTATGCTCAACACAGAGCAAGCATCGTATAAATGGGAGTTCTTTTCCTTCCTTATTCCGTGAAGGTGTAGCATTCCGAACATGTCCATCCCTGCTGGGCCACTGTGGGCACCCCAGACATAAATTCCAGTGGCGCTCAGCCTCAAAACATCACAGGAAGTTGTGTGTGTGGTGGGGGAAGGCCAAGTCTTCTACTCATTCTCTATAAGAGCTTGTGATTTTTTGTTTTCCACCCTCATTCTGCAAGTCAAAGAACAAAGACTTAAAGATCTCCCCCATTATGTACAATTTAATCAGGATTCTGTGCCTTCAGTTTAACTAGAGTTATCTTTACATCCCCAAAGCGTCAGGAGCCAATTTTCTTAAGAAGCATCATATGATTAAGAATGTAACAGCCATCCTTTTTAATCCCCGCGTACCTCTTGCGTACTCTATCATAACTGGTAAGGTCAGTAGGCCTCTCAGTATTGCTTTCAGTAGTCTTCTCCTGGATACTCCAAATGCTGCTAACTCCTGGGGATATATTTAGAAAATTCTGGTTTTCAGGCTGAGGAAAAACACAAACTGTTTCTTTTAAGCAGGTTTTACACTAATGTTAAGAAGTTGGTGTGTGTGTGTGCGTGTGTGTAGAGGTGTGAATATATATGTGCTATGTGAAAACTATACACATGGCAGTCAACTGGAAGAACAGAAAAATCACAGAGAAACGAAAATTCTCCATAATGCTTCCACCTTGAAACAATCACTTCCAACACGTCCGTGTGTGCTGGCCAGAGAAATGGCTGCCTCTGGTTTTCTGGTTTTAATCATGCTTAGCCCCATTCGTTCCCTCATTTGTGGCTCTATTTACCGAGCAACACAAACAAGGTGGCATTAGGGTTGCCAGATAAGACACAGGACACCCAGTTAGATTTAAATTTCAGAAAAATAACCAATTGTTTTTAGTATATGTCCCAAATATTGCGCGGTGCCCATTTGATCTGAAAATTATTCCTTTTCCAAATTTCTAATGTAAGTGGGCATCTTGTATTTTTATTTACTGAATTTGGCAACCCTCACTGTAATGCAGCCCCAGAGTGAGGGGACGTGGGGGTGAGCAGTAGCGGGCAGAGCCCCTGATAGACTCCACATTTCCAGTAACCTTGAGAGGCTGCTATTAATCAAAGGATATAATAAATATATCGAGTGTGAGAGGGCATGAAGGACTAAGTAGAACGGGAGTGAGTGAGTGAGTGTGTGTGTGTGTGTCTGTGTCTTCGTCTGGGCCAGCTGAGTTAAGGGTGAAAGCATATTTTGAATTAAAATTGAACCTCCCCAGCCTCGGGGGACCTGACCCCACTCGGGAACACAGTCGTCGGATGTAGGCCTCGTTATAAAGCAAAGGCTGCCTGACAGGGCTGGCATCCAGGAAAAGCAAATAAAATCTCCCTGTGAGTCCCTCCCGGAGGGCTGCTTGCAAAGCCTTGGCAACCCAGAGCCTGCAAACAAATCCCTCCCAGTGCTGCCCAGCAGAGCCCGGTTCCCCAGGTGGCTTTTGTTAATTGAGATTAAGCCGGCAGCTGCACACATAGCTCCTCAGGGCGGCCTGCCGCCCCCTCCCTTATCTCTTGTTCTGGGAACAGAAGGGGCCCACGTGTGGTTTCAGGAAATGAGAAGACAAGATCTTCTGTTGTAAGTGGAAAGGACCACCTGTATCGGGACTGGGAAAAGGGGGTCCTTGTCAGACCACTGAACACAGCCAAATAGGTTCCCTGGAATCAGCCTCCATTATCGAGGACTGCACACCAGTGTTTTTCCACAGAATCATGAACTGTGAGAACTCAAGGTAGCCTCCAGGGCCACAGAAACAAGAAGGGCTTCCCTGTCAGTGGAATCCTGTTACTTCAGAGTTTTGCCTCTGTTGTCTCATTTACTCATCCTCACAATTTAGGTGGATGGGGATTATGAGTCTGATTTTACACCAGAGAAACGGAGGCTCAGAGAGGCTGAGTCATTTTCCCAGAGCCACACAGCCAGGAACTCGCAGAGCCAGGACTCAAACCCAGGAATTCTGGCTTCAAAAACCCTGCATTTCCTGCTACACTATCCCACCTCCTATGGGACCTCTCAAAGGACTCTTACAAATTAGGAAGGAAACAGAACTTGATTTCTTTATTGTCTTTTACATCCCGCAAGAATACAAACTCTATGAGGCAGGTATGTTTGTATATTTTGTTCACTGCTCCCACAATAATGCCTCGCACACACACTAAGCATTCAACAGATCACTGCTGAATGAATGAATGAATGAATGAATGAATAATGGAAAGAATGAATGGAGATGGCACCAGGCTTCAGGTTTTGCTCTTGCCCCATTCTACCACTGCCATTTCCTGCACATTCACAAACATCCCCTTATTTAATCAGGCCCATTCCAGGTTTTTGGCGAGCCCTGAAGTCAGAGGGACGTGAGTCTGAATCCTTGCTTCACCACTTGGTAACTGTGTGAATGGACCAGACTACATTGTGTATTTGCTTGGTTTCTTCCTCCATAATTGGGGATAACAGCAAGACCCAGGGCAGAAGGTACTGCTATGAATAAGGATGTGTTTCTAAAACACCGCACACATAGTAGGTGCCTAATAAACGACAACTGAGCCTGGGTGGCTCAGTCAGTTAAACAGCTGCCTTAGTCTCAGGTAATGACCCCAGG